AAACCTGATTTATTGTTCTTAAATCAATTTTATTTGGGTTTGACCTACTTTTTTATGTTTTTCAAGGTTATGCAAGGTCAAAATAGGATCTATAAATATTAAGAGGAGTAAAATATGACACAAGGTACTCTGTAATTTTATAAGACCAAAAAAAAATTTTGGGTCATGAAAAAAGCTGATTTATTGGGCCTAACGCACTTGTTCTTGGGTTTGACCTACTTTTTTATGTTTTTAAAGGTTAGGCAGGGTCAAAATAGGTTCTATAAATATTGAGAAGGGCAGAGAATTACACAGAAGATGCACCGTAATTTTTGATGTCCATGAAAAAATTTTACGCCAAAAAAAAGCCAGATTATTTTAGCCTCAATCGATAATAAGTGGGTTTGACCTACATTCATTGATTTGTCAAGGTCAAACATGCTCAGAATAGGTTTATCAAAGATTCAGAGGGACAGTGGATAACTCAAAAAGGTACCTTGTAATATTTAAGACCAAAAAATAATGTTAAGACACGAAAAAACCTGATTTTTTGGGCTTAAATCAATTTTACTTGGGTTTGACCTACTTTTTTATTTTTTTTCATGGTTATGCACGGTCAAAATAGGATCTTTAAATATTAAGAGGGGTTAAAGATGACACAGGAGGTACACTGTAATTTTATAACACCAAAAAAACATTTTTGGTCATGAAAAAACTTGATTTTTTGGGACTAAAGCAATTGTACTTGGGTTTGACGTACTTTTTTATTTTTTTCAAGGTTTCGCGAGGACAAAATAGATTCTATACATATTGAGATTGGCGGAATATGACATAAAAACTACCCTGTTTATCTAAAAGGGTATAAAATTTTTAGGGCATGAAAAATCCTGATTTTTTGGGCCTTCATCAATTGTACTTTGGATTGACCTACTTTTTTATGTTTTTCAAGGTTATGAAAGGTCACAATAGGTTCTATAAATATTGATTGGGGCGAAAGATGACACATGAGGTGTCCTTTAGTTTTTGAGGGCTATAAAAAAATTTTAGCGCATAAACAAAACTGATTTTTTGGGCCTAAATCAATTTTACTTGGGTTTAACCTACTTTTTTTTATGTTTTTCAACGTTATACAAACCTAAAATAGGTTTTTCAAATATAAAGTGGGGCGGAAGTGCCATGTAATTTATAAGGGCCATAAAGAAATTTTAATGCATAGAGAAATCTGATTGAGTGGGCCTATATCAATTGTATTTAGTTTCAACATACTTTTATAAATTTTTCAAGTTCCTACACTGTCAAAATAGGTTCAATGAAAGTTGAAAGGGACGTTAGAGGACTTGGAAAATACCCTGTAATTTTAAAGGACCATTAAAAAATTTTACGGCATTGAAAAACCTGATTATTTTAGCTTCAATCGATAATAAGTGGTTTCGACATACTTTTATTGATTTTTCAAGGTCATACAAGCTCAGAATATGTTTATCAAACATTCAGAGGGACAGTAGATAACTCAGGAGGTACTTTGTAATTTTATAAAACCAATAAATCATTTTAAGACAGGATAAAACCTAATTTTTGGGCCTAAATCAATTTTACTTGGGTTTGACCAACCTTTTTTTTTTCAAGGTTATTCAAGGTGAATATAGAATCTATAAATATTAAGAGGTGCAGAGGATTTCACAGGATGTGCCTCGTAATTTTTAAGGGCCATGAAAAAATTGTGAGGCATAAAGAAATCTGATTTTTTAGGCCTCTATCAATTGTACTTAGTTTTGACGTACTTTTATCAATTTATCAAAGTAATACTTGGTCAAAATAGAGTCAATAAAAATTGAGAGGAAGAGACAATGACTCAGGAGATACCGTGTATATTTTAAGGACCATAAAAAAATCTTAAAGCATATACCAACCTGATTTTTTGAGTCTCAATCGATCATACTTGGGTTTGACCTACTTTGATTGATTTGTCAAGGTCATACAAGCTCAAAATTGGTTTATCAAGAATTCATATCGACAGAGGATCACTCAGTAGGTATTCTGTAGTTTCATAAGACCAAACAAGACCAAAAAAACATTTAGGGCATGAAAAAACCTGATTTTTTTGGCTTAAATCAATTTTACTTGGGTTTGACCTACTTTTTTATGTTTTTCAAGGTTATGCAAGGTCAAAATAGGATCTATAAATATTAAGAGGGGTTGAAGATGATACAGGCGGTTCCCTGTAATTTTTTAAGACCAAAAAAAAAATTGAGGTCATAACAAACCTGATTTTTTGGGCCTAAAGCAATTGTACTTGGGTTTGACCAACTTTTTTTTGTTTTTCAAGGTTATACAAGGTCAAAATAGGTTCTATAAATATTGAGAGGGGCAAAAGATGACAAACGAGATGCCCTTTAGTTATTGAGGGCCATAAAAGAATTATAGGAAATTAAAAAACCTGATTTTGTGGGCCTCATACAATTGTACTTGGTTTTGACCTACTTTTATTAATTTTACAACGTCATTCATGGTCAAAAAAGGTTCAATGAAAATAAAGACGGACATTGGATGACTTAAAAGATATCCTGTGATTGTTAAAGACCATTAAAAAATTTTGAGGCATAAAAAAACCTGATTTTTTGGGCCAAAATCAATTGAACTTGGGTATGACCTTCTTTTATGAATTTTTTAAGGTCATACAAGGTCAAAATAGGATCAATAAAAATTGAGATGGACGAAGGATGGCTTAAAAGGTACGCCGTGATTTATACAGACTATAAAAGAATTTGAGGGCATAAAGAATCTGATTTTTTGGCTTTAATCCATAAAAATCCGCTTTGACCTATTTTGATTAAGTTTCCAACGTTATACAAGGCTAGAATAGGTTTATTAACATCTAAACGAACGGAAAATGACTCAGGAGGTACCCTGTAATTTTTAACGAACATCAAAAAAACTTTTGCAAAAAAGATCAAAATAGGTTTTATAAAAATGAAGAGGGACATTTGATTACTTGCGGGATACTTTGTGATTTTAAAGAATCATTAAAAAATTTAAGGGCATAAAAAAACATGATTATTTTAGCCTTAATCGACAATAAGTGGGTTTGACCTACTTTTATTAATTTGTCTCAGTCATACAAGCTCAGAATAGGTTCATCAAACATTCAGAGGGTCAGTGGATAACTCAAGAGTTACCTTGTATTATTATAAGACCAAAAACAAATTTTAGGTCATCAAAAAACCTGATTTATTGGGCCTAACGCAATTGTACTTGGGTTTGACCTACTTTTTTATTTTTTTCGAGGTTACGCAAGGTCAAAATAGGTTTTATAATTATTGAGAAGGGCAGAGAATTACACAGAAGGTGCACCGTAATTTTTGATGGCCATGAAAAAATTTTGCGGCATATAAAAACCAGATTATTTTAGCGTCAATTGGCATAAAGAAACCTGGCTTTTGGGCCTCAATCTATTGTAGTTGATTTTGACCTACTTTTATTAATTTTTCAAGGTCATAAAAGCTCAAAATAGGTTCAATAAAAATTAAGAGGGACGTTGGATGACTTAGAAGATACCCTGTGATTTTAAAGGACCATTAAAAAATTTGACGGCATAAAAAAACCTGATTATTTTAGCTTCAATCGATAATAAGTGGTTTTGACATACTTTGATTGATTTGTCAAGGTCATATATGGAAACGTTCCATACATGCTCAGAATATGTTTATCAAGCATTTAGAGGGACAGTAGATCACTGAGGAGGTACTTTGTAATTTTATAAAACCAAAAAATCATTTTAAGACAGGATAAAACCTAATTTTTGGGCCTAAATCAATTTTACTTGGGTTTGACCGACTATTTTTATTTTTTTCAAGGTTCTTCAAGGCCAAAATAGAATCTATAAATATTGAGAGGGGCACAGGATTACACAGGACGTTCCTCGTAATTTTTGAGGGCCATTAGAGCATATAAAAACCTGATTTTTTGAGTCTCAATTGATCATACTAGTGTTTGACCTACTTTGATTGATTTTTCAAGGTCATACAAGCTCAAAATTGGTTTATCAAGAATTCAGATTGACAGAGGATCACTAAGGGGGTATTCTGTAGTTTTATATGACCAAAAAAAATTTAGGGCATGAAAAAACCTGATTTCAAGGGCTTAAATCAATTTTACTTGGGTTTGACCTACTTTTTTATGTTTTCCAAGGTTATGCATGGTCAAAATACGATCTATAAATATTAAGAGGGGTTAAAGATGACACAGGAGGTACACTGTAATTTTATAAGACCAAAAAAAAGTTTTAGGTCATGGAAAAACCTGATTTTTTGGGCTTAAAGCAATTGTACTTGGGTTTGACCAACTTTTGTTTGTTTTTCAAGTATATACAAGGTCAAAATAGGTTCTATAAATATTGAGAGGGGCAAAAGATGACACACGAGATGCCCTGTAGTTATTGAGGGCCATAAAAGAATTATAGGGAATGAAAAAACCTGATTTTTTGGGCCTAAATCAATTTTACTTGGGTTTGACCTACTTTTTTTCTGTTTCTTAAGGTTACACAAGGTCAAAATAGGTTCAATATATATCACGAGGGTGGAGGATGACACAAGAGGTGCCCTGTACTTTCTAAGGGCAATAGAAAAATTTTAAGGAATAAAGAGATCTGATTGTTTGGGCCCATATCAATTGTACTTACTTTCGAAATACTTTTATTAATTTTTCAAGGTCGTACACGTTAAAAATAGGTTCAATAAGAATTGAGAGGGGCGGATAACTTATCAGATACCCTTTGATTTTAAAGGACCATTAAAAAATTTTACGGCATAAAAAAACCATGATGATTATAGCCTCAATCAATTATATCTGTGTTTGACCTACTGTTATTGATTCGTCAAGATCGCGAGTAATCCATACACCCGACCCTTCATGACCAAGTTCTTTCTATATTAATAAAAAAGAAATCGTTTATTTTCAAATTAATTTGAAAGCAGCTAATAATAAATATATATGTATATGTACCATCTTCGGTGATGATTTAATTACTTTTTTTTTTTTAGTGTCTTTACAACTGGATGACACTGATGTTTTAGGATTTTTTTTTTACTTGATTCCTCTGAAAAAGATTAAAATGATAATAATGTAACGGTTAATTTTATAAATGTATATAATTAACTTTTTTTCAAATCATCTTTACTTGAATGTCCTTCCTCAAATTTTGATTTTGATGTTGGTACATGGGAGCTTGTATTATTTTCAGGGCGTTTCTAAGTGATAAATAAATTTTAATAAAATATTATATTATGTTATTTTAATTTTACTTACAGCTTCAGATGGGGTCTCTAATACTTCAACTTCTTCTTCATTTAAGACATCACCCTGATTTTTGTCTGAAAACCGTAACTTTTTTTTTGGATTTTCAAGCTCCTTTATTTCCTCAACGTCATCTTTATCAGAAATTTGTTCCAATACTTCAACTCGTTTTATAAATGGACCAGGAGATTTGATTCCCTCAAGAGCATCCAACTTTTTTTGTAAAGTTTTAATCGATTCTAAAATAATTAAATATCATCATTCATCCTTAAGAATTTTGTGTTGCAAAAGTTACTATTTTGTATTGGTAATTTATAATTATTCTAACAAAAAAAGTTCTTACTAGATACATCACCCACCATGGCTTTGTAGAAGTTCCAGCCACCAAGTGGCATTTTAATAGTATCATGCCATTCAACGACATATACTGTCTGTGGATCATGATTCTCTTCAAAATAGCTATCCAAATTGAAATCTTTTATGTGACGTACATCAATTTCTGCAGTCATTTTTTTGTTATCATTTCCACCGATCCATTTAACCAATGCCCACCACTTTGCCCTGAACAAAAAATTTTTTTATCTGTTAATTTTTAAACAACATAAATATGTAAACAAAAAATCAATATATCATTAATTTTAGCAGTAACTTGATCATTTTTTAATGTTATTTAAAAAAAAATTTTTCTTGAAAAATTATTTATAAAAAATTGCATTATTTTTAATTTCTACATAAGTCAATTTTTCTTTCTACTTTTTTTTACCATCATTAATTTGTTTGAAAAATTTTTAATATTATTAAATATCCACTAAATTAATTTTTATTAAAACATTTAATGAAAAAACGAAAAAAAAAAACGAAAGTTAAATTAATAAATTAATATTCATAAGTGTTAAATTTATTGGTTAAATTTATAGGTTATATTTATAGGTTAAATGGCATTTTTTATTTTTTTATTAATTCTAAAACTATAACGATTAAAAATAATTAAGTTTATTTATACCTTTTTTCTTTGTTCACTGTTATCAGTAGGGCCAGGCACTTGGTATTAATGGGGATAACTCACACATGCATAAAAAAACAAAATAAATGTATCCGTGTAATCGGCTTAACTCGGTAATCAACTACATTCAGTTTGTAGTTTAAACGCATCAAGATGGTACTATTAGAAAAAAAATTATTATTTTGTTTTTTACGGTTCGATTGCAGTAAAGCTTATAATTGGTTTATGTAATGTTTTTGAATGTTTCGTTTTCTTGTCAAACGTTTAAGAAATTTTCTGAAGGGTTTTAAGTATTTTGTTACATATAGAATTATAAAAAAAGGAAAATTTTTCTCACACTTACTTGAGTCAAGAGAATAATTTCTTGAGTTAAAGAATCATTCTTGGTCCAAAAAAATTTTCTTGTTTAAAAAAAATATTCTTTTCACTTAAGAAAATCATTTTTTTTTTTTTTTTTCAAAATGATATTATTGGTTCAAAATTTTGTCTCTTAAATCAATTTAATTTAATCGAGAATCCTGTATTTATCTTACTGCAGTGAAGCCGTAAATTTTATGAATGCGTTTTCCATACTGTTTCAATGCAGTATCGTTAACAATTGGTACATGAATTATTTTTTTTTATAAAGGTGAATGATTTCATGAATAGAATCTAATATCTCCGATGAGGTCCTTAGAGTGTAAAACAAAAATTATTTCCTCTAAATTAAATTAAGAATCATCTCTATGATTTATTCTCTCAATCACGTAACACAAAAAGTAAGGGAATATTTCACGCATAAGCTTCAAATTGCTTAAATAATGATTCCTTCCACGATCTAATTTTTACTGCATCACTGCAGTTTAGCAAAAATTTTTAATTGAGATAATTTTGTTGTTAAATTCATTCCTTGAGTTATAAAGGGCGATTAACTAAGTTTGCTGCGATTTAGATATCAAAGATTTTCCGGAAATAATAATTGGTTACCAATTTTTTGATTAAAAAATGCATACTGCATGGTTGCAGTAAGAATGAAGAATGAACATTATCTGAAATTTGAACATTTAACTTTTTCATCTACTGAGCGATACTACTTAATTAAACCATCATTACCAAAATAGTGTACTTCCAATCAAATATTGTTAAAAATGAAATTCCGTGACCATAAAATAGATACTGCATAAAGGCAGTAGAGCAAAATTTTACAGCTAATAAAACTTATACCAGAAAGTGCCAACTTTCATCTCACTGCGTTAATTGAAGTTGTCGTTCTGCGCCTTCGCCTTGAAAAGTAAAAAAGAAAACCTCAGATCACATGTTTGTCTTTGGCATTATATGTGATCTAAAGCTTTTCTTATTTTCCTTACCAAGGGGTGTAATATACTATTCTTTCTCATTTTAAGCAATTTAACTGGTCGCCACTGACGAGAATAATTAAAAATTTATCATGGTATTGATAGAAAATTATTTTTCCGTAAATAAATTGATACTGCATCACTGCAGTAGAGCAAAATTTTGGTAGTGAGGACATTTTGCTGTCAAATTTATTTCTTTCATTATGAAAAGCGATTTAAGCAGTTTGCTACGATTTTAAATTTCAAAGATTTCCAGTAAGGGGCTGTTAATAAATTACGTAAGCGCTCATTAGGGGGGAGGGGGGGGGGTCAAGCTGAATCTCTATGTATGCTTACGTAGGGGGGAGGGCGCTAGTAGACAAATCTTAAGTAAGCAAAATTTTTAAATTATTTCAGTAGTCGGTAACTTAAATTACTTTTCTACTATGATTCTCGATCGATAGTTCAATTGCATCGATAATGTCACACTCAGTTTTGTTTGGTTATAAGTTGTTAAAACGAGGCGGAAAGATCGAAGCTGACATGAGTGTCAGAATCTTTTATTTCAGTTAAAAAATGCTAGTTGATGCACATAGTAAAAATTAAACTAATTGAATCCTATTCAGTTGGAATAGTTTAAATAATCCATTTGGGGTTTGTAAGGTTGAATCTTACCCAGTTGGTTGTAATTTGAAAAATTCAACCTGGTCCGTCAAGTTTAATTAATCCGTTTTTGCCTACTTTGTAATGAATAGTTTGATTCACTTTGCCTGTTCAGTCAGAACAGTTTGATATATTATTAGTAATATTCGAAGCACCTAATATTACTAATTAGCTCCGGTTTGTGTGTGAATGTTGACAAGTTAGGCATCAGTGGTTAATATAATTTATATAATAGTTAATAAATAAATTATCCAACGAATAAGTAAATCAGTTATTTGCATCTTGCCATTACATGCCACTCCCAGTACGCGGTGAGGTGGATTCACCAGAACATGTACCAGAGGCCACGTGTTCCAATTCACCAGGACAAGCAACACCTACTCGAAGTCCTAATTAAGCTATACATAAGTATTGGTGTTGGTTTTATTAGTTTGTACGGCCAGTTCGAGGTATTTATTCTTCGATTTTATAAGTAACCGAGTCTCTGGAGCCAGGCAGAATTCACATTTAGAAACGTACCCTGAATGATTAGAATCTAAGATTTAATTTATTAATTGATAAATTCTCTAAATACGAAGTGACGCTTTCCATAGCGTTCCCATTAAATCTGTCACGTTTCAATGGCATTTGTTAAAAATTAAAAATATTTTTTAACTTATTGAATGCCCGAAATTGATGTATATCTTACGTAAGATTCCAGAGGGGAGTGGATGTATCAGTTGAAAATCTTACTAATGCTTATCTTGGGGGAAAGGGGGTTGTAAAATGCTCCAAATTATGCTTACGTAATTTATGAACAGCCCCTAAGTATTGATAGTAAACTAATATTTTAATTAAAAATTCAATACGGCATAGTTGCAGTAAGGATTAAAAATAAATGTTAATGGAAATCTGAACATACAACTTTATTGTCTAATAAAAATTGCCAGTAAATTAAGCCGTCATTACAAAAATAACGTAATTCTAACCAAATGTTGTTAGAAACCGATTTTTTTGGCCATAAAAAAGTTACTGCATAATTGCAGTAGAGCAAAATTTTACTAGCGAGGACATTCTGCTGTCAAATTTATTTCTTTCTTCATAATGAGCTATTTAATAACTGTGCTACTATTTAAATATTAAAGATTTCTGAAAAAAAAATAAGTTGGTAACCAATTTTTTAATTAAAAAATGCATACTGCAAAGTTGCAGTAAAAGTGAAAAAAAAATGTTAATAGAAATCTGAACATATAAATTTATTGTCTAATATAAATCGCTAGAAAATTAAGCTGTCATTACCAAAGTAATGTAATTCTCAATAAATCTCGTTAGAAATCAATTTCTTTAATCACAAAAAAGATACTGCAACTGCAGTAGAGCAAAATTTAACAGTTGATAAAACTGTTGCCGTAAAAAATATTTTTCTTTCTTATTAAAAACGATTTTATCGGTCGTTATGACGTGAGTAATTAAAAATTCATCATGGAATTTATAGAAAATAATTTTAATTGCAATTAAATTGTTACTGCATCACTGCAGTATAGCAAAATTTAAGTAATGAGGACAATTTGCTGTCAAATTTATTCCTTTCATTATGGACAGCGATTTAATCACTTTGCTACGACTTAAATATCGAAGATTTCCACTAAGTATTGATAGGAAACAAATATTTTAATTAAAAAATGGATACTGCATAGCTGCAGTAAAGATGGAAAATAAATATTAATGGACATTTGAACATTCATCTTCCTTATCCAATGTGAATTGCAAGTAAATTAAGTCGTCATTACTAAGATAACGTAATTCTAACCAAATGTTGTTAGAAACCTTTTTTTTTTTCACCATAAAAGAGATACTGCATAACTGCAGTAGAGCAATAATTTACAGATAATAAAACTTTTGCCACCGAAAATATTTTTTTTTCTTATAAAAAGCAATTCTACTGTTCACCACTGACGTAAGTAATTTAAAACTTATCATGGAATTTATAGAAAATAACTTTATCTGCAATTAAAATGTTACTGCATCACTGCAGTAGAGCTAAATTTTATTAGTGAGGACATTGTGCTGTCAAATTTTTTTCTTTCTTTATGAAAATCAATTTAAACAGCTTGGTACGATTTAAATATCATAGATTTTTAGTAAATATTAATAGGAAACAAATATTTTAATTAAAAAATCAGTACTAGATAGTTGCAGTAGAGATGAATAATAAATATTGATAGAAATCTGAACATTAAACTTTCTTGTTTAATGTGAATTGCTAGTTAATTAAGCCGTCATTAAAAAAATAATGTATTTCTAACCAAATGTTGTTAGAAACCCTTTTTGTACTATAAAAGAGATACTGCATCACTGCAGTTGAGCCAACTTTTAATAGTGAGGACATTCTAGAGTCAAATTTATTTCTTTCCTTATAAAAAGCGATGTAGTCAGTTTGTTACGATTTGAATATCAAAAATTTCCAGTCATTATTGATAGTAAACTAATATTTTAATAAAAAATTCAATACGGCATAGTTGCAGTAAATATTAAAAATAAATGTTAATGGAAATCTAAACATACAACTTTATTATCTAATAAAAATTGCTAATAATTTGAGCCGTCACTACTAAAATAACGTAGTTCTAACCAAATGTTGTTAGAAACCGATTTTTTGACCATAAAAGAGATACATGCAATTAAGTTAAGAAGCCACTGCGTCGCGATTTACTGTCCCCTTGCAGTATTGCCTCTTATTTTTCTGTTCAATATATATATAACAAAAATAGTGTGAGAAATTAATTTATATACTTATACCTTTCTGATTTTTTCGTTAGGAGTTCTAAATCAATGATAATTCGTATGAACTTTGCGTAAATTTTTATAAAATTTATTATACGAACTTATACAGTTTTGTTAACTCTTACAATAACATATTTTTTAACGGGTAGTTTATTTCCCGTACTTATTGGCCCTGAATAAAATTAATAATTAACAATATAACAGCGAAACGACTCTAATGCTAAATAGGGCGCCACCAGGATTATTTTCTCGGTTCCTGGAACCGGATGCCAGAGCTGAGCTTCTTTTTCTACAGGGAGAGAGAGAGAGAAAGGTGGTCTGAAATAATTAAATCTTTATTTAACAATTGGCCAAAATTTATTAACAATAAAATCACAACTCGTACACTTGTACGTACTCCTAACTCACTTACACTACTCACTTACAACTACGACTTATGACTACGATTTTCTTACTTCACGCTTCCCACCGGGAAGTCGCTACTACAATTTATAACTACTGGAGGATTTCGGGCTGGAACGGGCTACTCCGACTTAGAACTACTTATCAATAAGACACCTCGTACAAAGACTGCAGTGCACGAGGACTTATCAATAACGCCTTGCTACAGAAGCAACAGCCTAGTGACTGCAACATAAGCCAAGAAGCCTCTGCAGCTCTCTCATACACATACCCCTTACTTCGCGCTGCCCACCTGACCACGCTCTACGCCAGAGAAACACCTCGCAACGGACTGCACGACTGCGAAGGAACTCTGGTAGCATTCACACACACATACCCCACACGTCACACACACACACCGACTCTACTTTACTAATTTATTTCCGGATTT